CCTCCCTCCCTCCCTCCCTCCTTCCCTCCCTCCTTTCCTTCCTTCCCCATCAGATGGACCACCACGGCAGCATTCCAGTATTCATCTCCAAAGTGGGTTCTCCTGCCTCCTTGGAGGCCTGCCTGGTAGGCGAGGTGGGAGATAGGGCGACTAAACTCTGCATGCAATGAGAGGAGGGTCTGAGGGTGGGGGTTGAAAATTTTGTGGTGGTGGAGGGGATGGTGAGGGGGAGGGAGGAGGAAGGGGAGGAGGAGGAAGAGGAGAAGGGAGAGAGGGAGCTGAGGAGGAAGGGAGGAGGAGGGGAAAATGGAGGAGGAAGAAGAGGAGGAGGAGGGAGAGGAGGAGCTGAGGAGGAAGGGAGGAGGAGGGAGAGGTGGCTTGCGGCTGGGTGCTTGGCGTAAATCTTGGGGTGGGAATACTCTCCCGCACCTTTCCAAAAAGAACCAAGAGCGAATTGAGCTGCGGTCTTCACCACGGCATGACGAGGGTATTAAGTGTCCATTCATGATCTTTTGCGTGCATTTATTTGTGTCTTTTTTCCCGTCCCTCCGACTTGGTCCGAGACTTTCCTCAGACTGGGCCCCCCATCTCCTCCGCCTTCATTGACTTCTTCTCATGGGGCATGCGCCGGGAGGAGGGTATCCATGTATAGTTCCAAACACTGTGTCAATCTCATTGGGGGCCGTTACTTGACACACTGTCGCCCTAAAGCCTGGAGGACAGTCCAATGTCTGGGGCTATCCCCTCTCCCTCCTTCCCCTCTCCGTCCCTACCTTCCCTTTGTCAACATCAGTATATACATGTGTAAGTCCATTTGTACACGACACGTTCCTCCCAAGACTTGCAAGCAACGTCAATCCCTCGATGCACCACGTCGCATCGCGACTGCCGCCTTGGGCGTTGGCATTGTGGTTTGTCCAAGGGGTGCATGAAGTTGACTTTAATTGCATGACCGTTGTCCATGACGCGGAGACGTACCTCCGTTAATGCTGATACTTTTTGCTATGCGAATGGGCGGGAAGCCACTGGAAACATGCGGGGATCATGCGGGCATGATGGACAACGTAGGACAGAGGACGTGTAGGGGAATGCACGGTCCTTGAATACGTAGTTTGGTATTGTTTTTTTCAAGTCACGACGCATTCGTGGTTTCAGAGTCGCGACGCCCTCGCCGTCCTCTTCAAGCAGTTCCGTTCCCCTACATTCTTTTTGTCACACTCACCCGTCGTCCACACACGTCCATTATGACAGAGACGAGCATTGTCAAGGGCGTGACAAGTCCGGGACTGCCCCAGGGTGTTGTGTGGAGGTTTCGTGACGCGGCCCCGGTGTTTTTATGGCGGAGGCCGGGCATGGGAGGGAGCAAGGAGGCAGACCCCAGCATGCTCATATATCAGGCCATCCGGGAAATATTGTCACCTCGCCCGTCTCCGGTACGTGGACGCTGGCGTGCTCTCCATATGCCTATGTGTGCGGGGGATGGTTCACAGTGGTAGGACCTTCTATTGCTCATTTGCGTCTCCCCCTCCCTCCTGTAATGTGTTGTGATCGTGCAGTCCATGGCGATACCTCCTCCGTTGGAGGTGTACCCACGTCCTCTACTTTCTACACACCGGGATCGACAGCCCTGTCCAATTACGTCGGGTGAGAACAGGAGGGAGGGAGGGAGGGAGGGATTGGCCTCGGGAAATGGTGATGTGTTGTCAAGATGTGTACGACGATATTTACATGATTACCACTGGGCTTGACAGGCCCGACGATCGCTTTCTCCGAGCTGAAGAGGATGGCCGGGTTCGCGGAGGGCCGGGGCGTGGGGAAGGCGGGAAGGAGGGAGGGAGGGAGGGGAGGCACAGGAGGAAGGAAGGAAGAAGAGGGGACGGCGTAGGGGAAGAGTTTGGGGAAGACCTGTTGTCTTCTCGGTTTGGAACGCCTTCACCGGATGTCTTTGTCCAGCAGGTAGGTAGGGAGGGAGGAGGGGACTTTGCAAG